GCTTCCAAATCTTGATTTTGGCTCAGGTCATGATCTTAGGGTCGTGAGATTGAGCCCCACGTCAGGCTTCATGCTCAGAGTTTCTCTTTCTCCTCTCCCTCTTCCCCTCCCCACTCAGACTCTCTAAAAAAAAAAAAAAAAAGAAAAAAAAAAGTAACCACTAATCTAACATCTACTCCATTGAAATATTTTATCAGAATTTAAATTTCACATAAGTGGAAAAATATTGTCTATTCTTTTTTGCATTTACCTCAACATATCCATGAAATTTATCCATATTTTTATGGGATTAATAACATTATTTTAAAGAACAATCCTGAACTCTACAAGGAAATAGTCATTTACAGAAATACAAATATCTCCTCACCTTCCCTCAAAATTATTTATCCATTTAGTTTTCCTCAAACATACTCTACATGAATTCACTGTCCTTCATGTCCTCTGTGAATAATCTAGTTCTATTGTTACATCTGTGTTCCACTCCTCTTCGTCACTGCCATTTGGATGGCCTACCCATCATATCTAATTATGTAATTGAATTCTGACTCCAGTTTGTAGTGCTTTCAGATAAACAGTGATGCTTTAGATTTTAGCAGTCAAGCAAAAAGAACACAGTGAACTGAAATTTTCACAAGTCCAGTGGCAAGTGCTTCCTGGCATCCCAAGTGTGATTCATTTATTTCTGCATTGCTAGTTTCATCATTCAGTTTGATTTATCCAGGGGAACAGTGTGTTGAATGTCCCTCAGGGTCAGGTTTTGGAGTATTTTTACTCTAATTACTACAGATAAGAAGAAGGGAGTGAGAAAGCCAAAAAGATAGGAGAACTAAATATAACTGTCTTATAATGTGTTGAATATGACTCTTATTATATTAGAGACCTGGCACTAATCTGAGCCTGGATAGTGGGCTATCAGGGCTTGATGTCATTAAATACTGATTGTTATATCACTGATTGTTATTTTATTTCTTTGCTAAGCAAGACTTTTCTGATTATACATTAGCAGCTTATGAGTTTTACATTGACAGATATATAGCTTATTGCAAATTAATTGATCAGTATGGAAATTGTATATATCAACCTTTCTGAGCCTTGCCAAGTTGAGTTCGTATCCTTGGTCAGAACAACCTTGTCGTACACTGGAGTTTCCACCTCTGGTAGGTTCAAGGTCTGTCACCAGGATAAGGGTGTGCAGTTAACTTTTTCCAGGTAATACTCTGAGGATGCTGTGCTGCATTGCCCAGATATCTCCATCAGAACTGAAAGATTTATTCACCCAGCTGTTGGAGGGGAGGTTTGGTTATCTGATGTTGCCTGTCTTTGAAATTGTGTCTGCTGAGGAGTCACCTTGTCTAAGGTCTTGTTCCTTCCTAAGGCAGCCCACATGCAGTCATGTAGGTCAGTGTAGGAGAATGTTCTTTTGTCCTAACTGGGGACAACTCTGAAGGGCCATCTATTTCCAGAGCTCCCCTTGGGGTCAGTTGTGGCCTTTCTTGAGACTGCATCATAGCTCAGTTTCTCCTGCACAATGTTTCTTCTTCTTTCCACACTTGTTGATTCCAAGAGTACTTCCTAACAATGTCTTATATACCATATCAGATTTATTTCCTGAGAATTTAAACTTCAGTACATCTTTCTACGATGGACTGAATTTTGTCTCCTCCAAAATTCATCTGTTGAAGCCCTAATTTCCAATGTGACTATAGTTGGACATAGGGCTTTTAGCAAATATTATGGTTAAATGAGGTCACAAGGGTGGGATCCCAATCCTATAGGATTTGTGACCTTCTAAGAAAAGGAAAAGAGAGAGAAATCCCAGGAAAGTCCATGAGCACACAGCAAAAAAGCAGCTATCTACAAGCCAGAATAAGGGTTCTCACCAGAATGTAACCATGCTGGTACCCTGATCTCAGACTTTCAGCCTCCAGAAATGTAAGAAAATAAATTTCTGTTGTTTAAGCCACCATGTGTATGGTATTTTATTATAGAGTCCAAGCTGACAAATATACACTCTCTGATTTCATGTCTTCAAACTTTGAGAGCAATTAAAAATTATGTTCTCAGAGCCTTTTTACTTGTTAATAAGCAAGTTATTTACTGAAGCTTAATATACATACAGAAAAGTGCACAACTCATAAGTATACATTCAGTGAATTTTTACAAGAGGAGCACAACCATGAAACCAGCACACAGACCAAGAAATACATCATTCTTTCATTCCTAATATTGGTAATCTGTGTTCTCTTTATTCCTAGGTAGTGGTTTATTGAATTTTTCATCTCTTGGAATAACCAACTTTTGACTCTGTTAATATGCCCTATTATTTGTTTTCCATTTCATTTTTTTTAAAGATTTTATTTATTTATTTGAGAGAGAGAGTGAGAGAGAGAGAGCACATGAGAGGGGGGAGGGTCAGAGGGAGAAGCAGACTCCCTGCCGAGCAGGGAGCCTGATGCGGGACTCGATCCTGGGACTCCAGGATCATGACCTGAGCCGAAGGCAGTCGCTTAACCAACTGAGCCACCCAGGTGCCCTGTTTTCCATTTCATTAATTATACTATTTTCTTTATCATTTTCTTCTACTTACTTTGGGCCTACTTGGCTCTTCTTTTTTTTGTAGCTCCTTAAGGTAAAACTTTACATCATTGATTTTAGATTTAAAATAAACATTCACTGGGGTGCCTGGGTGGCTCAGTTGGTTGAGTGTACAACTCCTGATTTCGGCTCAGGTCATGATCTCAGGGTTGTGAGATCGAGCCCCACATCAACCTCTGCACTCGGCCTGGAGTCTGCTTGTCCCTCTCCCTCTGCTTCTTCCCCCATCCCCATACTCTCTCTCAAGTAAATAAATAAATAAAATCTTAAAAAAAATAAAATAAACATTCACTGCTGTCATTTTCCCTGTAAGCACCAAAATACATTCCTCTTATTTGATATATTTTATTATAATTATATTCAGTTCAAAATATTTCTAATTTCCCTCATATTTTTTTGACCCAAGGATTATTTAGAAATATGTGATCTAATTTTCAAATATTAGGAATTTTTGTAGATATCTTGTTACTCCTTTCTAGTTTATTATTTATTTATTTTAACTTTAGTAGTTTATTGCTTCGTCAGAAAACATAATCATTATGATTTTGGTCTTTTGAAATTCATTGAGATTTTTTAGTGATATAGAAGGTGGTCTATCTTGCTAAATATACCATGTGTATTTGTAAAGAATGTATGGATTCTACAATTTTTGGATGTGGTGTTTTATCAATACCAATTCAGACAAAGTGGTTAGGAGAGTTATTCAGACCTCTGTTTTTTTCTGTTATTTTTATCTAGTTGTTCTATTAATTTTTGAGATGGGGTGTTATAATCTCCACTTCTGATGATAGAATTGTCTATTCCTCACTTTTATTCTGTCAATTTTTCTTCATGGATTTTGAAACTGTGCTACTGGGGACATACATACTTAGAATTATTATGTCTTTCCAATGAATTGACCCTTTTACCAATATTTCTCTTCTTTGTCATGAAGTTTTATTTATCTGATATTAACATAATCTAACCTTCTTAAGCTTACTGTTTTTGTGGTATTTGTTTTTCTATCTTTTTACTTCCTGCTTGTTTTAAAGAGGAGACATAGTTGGGTCATGCTATTTAAATTTATTTGAATTTTTTCCCTTTAAGTTGGAATGTTTTTCCTATTGATATATAAAACTAATTATTAACATGGCTAAATTTAAGTCTTATTTTATAACTTAATTTTTATCTCCTCTGCTTTTTGTTTCTATTTCTCCTTTTGTGTTTTCATTTAGATTAATTGAATGTTTTTATAACTCCCTTTTAATTTAGTCAGTGATTTTTTAACTATAGTTATCTGAATTTTATTTTATTGGTTGTTCTAAGGATTAGAATAACCATCTTTAACTTGTCAACAGTCAATTTTGGGTTGATATTATACGAGTTTACGTGAAATGCTAAAAACCGTATAATCATTTATGTCCATTTACCTCTTCCCCCATCATCTTTGACATAATTTTGTGTGTATCACATCAGATTATGCCAAAAGTCCACTATAAAGATAATTTTTGTTTTAACCTGTCGTGCATATTTATTATGTATTTATGTACTTATTTATTATGTATTTATGTATTAAGGGGGAATTGTTTTTGTAATTCGTCACACATTTACTATTTACAGTGCTCTTCATTCTTTTCTGAAAATCTACATTTGTATTTGGTATCATTTGTATTGTGCCTAAAGAGCTTCCACTAGGTTTGCTAGTGATAAAACTTCTTACTTTTCTTTCATCTGGAAATATCTTTATTTTATATTCATTCTTGAAGGATATTTTTGCTGGATATAGGGTTCTGGATTGCCAGTTTATATATTCTTCTAGATCTTGAAGAGTTTATTTCACTATCTTCTGACCTCAGTTGTTTTTTTGTGAAGAGACAACAGTATTCTGAATTGTTCCTTGTATGTGATGCCACTTTTCTCTGGCTAGTTTTAAGATTTTCTCTTTACCTTTAGAATTTAACAGTTTGACCAAGATGTACTTTGGTGGTTTTTTGTTTTTTGTTTTTTGTTTTATATTCTTCTTGTTTGACCTTGCTAAACTTCTTGAGTCTATATGTTTATATGTTTCACCAAATTTGGAAACATTTTGGCCATGTTTCTTCAATAAAATTTTTTTCTGCTTTATTCTCTCTTCTCTAGGGTCCAACTATAGGAAACTACATATTTGATTTATAGTCTTGAAATTTAATTTTTTAAAAATGTGTTCCTCTATTATATTACTTAAAATGTTGAAATTTGACTTGGTATACAAGAATACAATTTAATTTATTAATTTTTTCAAAAAGTTAACATTCTTTTTTTTTTTAAACTGAAATGAATTTTAATACAGAAAATGAAGACAGCATTTTGCAAATTTATCGCTCAAAGGGGTATCTCTATTTGAGGAAATCAGCGTGTTACACTTTGAGAGATGAAATGTTACAGCTTGTACATCAAAATTAAAAAATGAAATTAAATTAAAAAATGAAATGGTTACCAAGGTAATGCAGGTCAGGGGATCAAAGGTGAAGGGTCACACATTACTAAAAAGAAATCCAAAAGGACGGCTGCATCATGATCTCTCATTAGTGTTCCAATGGTGCCTCTCTTTGGGTAAACTTGAACATTTCGGCAGACATTCAAGGAGCTTTTTCGGTAAAAAGATTTTTACATGACTACTATTGCTGTTCCCATGATCATCTTCTAGAGGTGGCACGGTGTTGAGAACACAGTAGGTGCTAGTTCCGCAGAATACACTTTGGGAAACGCTCTTCCGGCTTGTTTTCGGCAGCCATTTCCCCTCCGCGTGCCACATCCTCCTCCTCCTCGCGACCGGGACCCCGAGCGCGCGCCTCGTACCGCCGCCACCGGCCTAGCCCCAAAGAGTTAACATTCTTAAGCATTGTAAACAGAATGACTGTAATATCTGTTTTTATGCATATTGTTAATTCTTTTAAAGGGATTTCCTGTCTTCTTCACAAACAATTGTCTTACCTTTAGACATTTTCCATGTGATTATAAGATTCTGAGTTCTCTTGGGAATCTTCATGTATAGGCAGATATGTTACCAAAAGTCATTACCAGGAGATTAAATAGGTGTAATCTGAAACCAGTAGTGGATTTAGAGGACACTTTTGTTGTTTAACTCATTCATATAACTGGGTATAAGCTTCTCAGTCCAGAGGAAATTCTGCTGTTTCTTTGTTTAGGGAGTTGGAACATCTGATATTTCATTTCTTCTTCATAAGGCAGTGCTCTCCTATTTCAGTGTTATATTTTCATGTCTGGTCAAGGTTAAATAAATCAACAGCATGTGCTGATTGCAGTACCATTAGGTTTATGGTGGTGTGATTTTACAAAATGAACACAGAGACTCATAGAATTTTGGAACTATAAGTCATCCTGTATCATCCTACTGCTTCAGTATCAAACCATGCCGAAAAATATGGACCTAACTAATTTTATTAAATTTTTTAAAGGAAATTTCATTCATCAGTATTTTTTAGGATGTTTTCCTCAGAATTTAACAGCTTGTCTCCAGCTGGCTACATACATGTATATATAAAATCTGTTTTGCCCCAAAGATGACAAATATCAGTTTTGATGATATGGGAAAGATGTATGTTTGCAATTTAACATAGGTTTTATTTTTAGATAAGCAGTTTCCTGGGAAAAAATTAATATTGTTACAAATCACCAAGAAATAAAATTGCCATATTGCAAAATACCAAGGGTTTGGAACTTCAGAGTAATCAGTGCTATAAGCTATGCACTGTAATTTGGGAATGCACAGTTGTTGCTACAATCAGGCAGAGTACCCCATCGTTTTTTGGTCATAGCCTCTCCTGAGACCAAAGTAGAGACTGGACACAGAGAGAAGAAAGGACAAAAATATGGTTAATTATTATACTCCTATGACATCGGACCTACAGCTCCATCAGGCTGTGGAGGAATTAGGGGAGGAAGGAAAGGATCAAATATTTGGGATTGCATCTCTGACCTGTTTCTGATTCCTTTTTAATATTTGAAGGTGCAATGGAGTTGAAATGGTTGGCTTAAGAAATAGGCAATAACAGGTGAGCCTGGGTGGCTCAGTCAGTTAAGCAGCTGCTTTTGGCTCAGGTCATGATCTCTGGGGCCTAGGATTGAGCCCCATGTCCTTGGCCTCTCTGCTCAGCAGAGAGTCTGCTTCTCCCTCTCTCTCTTCCCCTCCCCCCACTTGTGCTCTCTTTCTCTCTCTCAAATAAATAAATAAATAAATACAATCTTTAAAAAAAAAGAAATAGGCAATAACATACTACTTTAATATATAGTAACTTGGGGTGATTTTTTTCAGGAAGTAATTTAAATTTAGTGTTTCTTAATTATTACACACTATTAATTACCAAATGTGCATATTAGAATGGTCAGTACACTTTCAATTATTGAATATAACTTTACATTTATATAAAATCCATCTGAGTACACTTTGACTCATATTTTACAACCATGATTTTGTATCTTCTACATCTCTTAACCCTTATTATGCTGAGTATTTGAGAATTAACTGTGCTATTTTGCTCTGTTCTCACCCAACCTAGAGAATAACTAATTAACCATCACCTTCTCACAAAGACAGTAAGTATAGTCCCTCACTCACAGCGTTTGCAATCCAGTTGGATAGATAGATGTAGAGTAGAAGATTAATTCTATACATCATGTATAAGCATCATACTTTGTTTTATTCAATTTGATTCTAAGGAACTCCAAAGCAAGGATAGGCTCTTGTACCTTCGAGATTCTACGTGGTCTAGGGCAGGGTTTCTTAACCTCTACACTATTAACCTTTTGGACCAGATAATTCTTTGTTGTGGGATGATGCCTGTGAAGGATGTTTAGTAGCATCCCTGACTTCTACCCAGTAAATGCCAATAGAACCCATCTCCCATTGTGACAATCAAAAATGTTTCCAGATATCCCCTAGGGACAACATTGACAGATATCCTCTGGGTCCAAAATTGCCCCCAGTTGAGAACTACTTCTCTAGGGGCTCAGCAACTATCAGACAGAAAATACTTTGAGTTATAACAATAGATCAAGATAAAGCAAGAGTTTTCAATTCAAAAGGAAGCAATGGTACCATTTTTTTGAATAAGAGGACATATCACAGTTTTAAAATTTCTTAAGTTGATAATCCTTTCAAGAAACCATTTTGTTAGGCTCCCAGTGAAATAAATACTATACAATCAATAGTGAACAGTGAAAAGATCTTTCACCTGCCTGTACCCACAGGTATCTGTTTCAGTTTGGCAAACACTTTTGCTGTTCCTCCAAAAGTTTTGGATCATTCACTCAGAAGATTTAGCCCTCTAATTCAATCCAATCCTGTCCTGTTAAGGCCAAGATCTATTGCCAGATGAATGTTGCCAGATTGGTAACATTCCAAAAGCCCTTTCTAGTTCTAATGAAATTGTATAACCTTTTAAAAGAATAACAAGTTGCATGTGGCTGTCACAAGAGAAGAATTTTATAATATAGAATAAAAAACAGAAGAGGCATTTACAATGTTCACAAGTCTTTAGCAAAGGGGAGTGCAAATAATGGGTAGGGGAGAATGGAAATATATATAAGTGGTATTTTTTTGGTATTTAAAGAGGTTCAAATTCCATCATCATTATCTAACCGCATCAATATCATTTAAATAAAATTGCTCATACATAATCAGGGTCAGAAATGTGTCTTTGGAAGCTCTAGCTTTCCATTTTTCATATATTTCCTGAACTTTCACTGATACCTCATGGTCTCAAGCAATCTCCTACAACAAATGAGTCAAAAGATCTTTTTAGATCCTTATTTAAACTTTTATTTGCATCCAAGAAACAGCACCTGCCACTGAAGTATTTGTACTAAGCCAAAGCCAAAGTAAAATTTCTGCACTCAATTCTACCAATGGGGGAGGAGGGTGGGGTGGTGGAGTCTTCCCACACCAACAAGCAATTCTCAGACACTAGCTGCGTGTCCTAAAATTCAACTCGATTATGACACTGTCTACCCAGAGATAGCATCAGATTCCACAGGTTAGGAACTCAGTCCCTCAAGATGGCCCCCTACCCCCCAAAACAGACTCCATTCAAAAGCCCAGGTTGTTGGAAGCCCAGGTTGTCAGAAGCCCAGGTTGTCACCTGGGCTTCTGACTAATACATTATAGATTAGAAGTTCCAATGACCACCTCCTTGGGTTCAATTAATTTGCTAGAGCAGCACACAGAACTCAGAGAAATATTTTACTTACTAGGTTAACAGTTTATTATAAAATGATGTAACTCAGGAACAGCCTAATGGAAGAGATGGCATCTGATAGCATGAGGAGATTCTATGCCCTCTCCAGGCATGCCAACTCTCTTTAATCTCCATATGTTCACTAACCCTGATGCTCCAGAACAGCCGCCCTCCCCCACCTTTGAGGTTTTTATGGAGGCTTCATTACATAAGCATGATTGATTAAATCATTGGTTATTGGTCATTGATTTAACTAACCTCCATCTTCCCTCCCCTCCCTGGAGTTCATGGGGACTGAAAGTTCCAATCTTCTAATCACATGGTTGGTTTCCCTGGCAACTGACCCCAATCTTTAGGTGTTATACAAAAGTCACCTCATTAACATAACAAAAGATGCCTTTGTTGCTGTCATCACTTAGGAAATTCTAAGGGTTTTAGGAGTTAGTGCCAGAAATGGGAAGAAGGCCAAATACATATTTCTTATTATAAATCAAAGTATCACACAAAGGATGGAGAAAGAATTGGGGATAGGAAGACCTTCCTGAAAAATAGAGCATCTTAGGTACAGGGAAGTTATCATAAAGACTTACAAACACAAGCATTAGCATGAAAGAAGATGTCCAGAAGAACATAAAGGTTTAAAATTTGTGCAGAATGGAGGAAGGCAAACAGATAATGTCCAACTAGCATTCTGAGCCTAGTTAAACACGTTAAACACATTTGTATTAAACCAGGCCTTAAAGCAGCCACTGCAATTAGTATGTGTCTGAACATTAAAGAAAGGGTAAATTAACCATAAAGGGAATGCTTGAGGGATCTTGGAGATTGGATCTACAGAGGCAAAGTCTCTAGCAAACAAGGTCAAAATATGGAGTGTTACTAAAATTTTCAGACATTTTAGGGAACAGTGGTCTCTTGAATACCAATAACTCATACCCTTCTTTTGTTGCCTTTCAGTTAAAATAGATGTGCAGTAGTTGCACATAGTGATAATTGTTCATCTGTGTTATATATCCTTATTTTATGCTAGAAAATTATATAATCCTTGCAACGATACTCTGAGGCAGGTGCTTTTATCACCATCGTTTTACAGATGAGGAGGTTGAGGCTTACAGAGGTGAAGTAACTTGCCAGAGGTCACACAGCAACAGCCTGACAAGACTCCAGTGCTTAAGTATGTATATACTCAAAGTCATCGTTCCTCTTCTTCTTTTTTTTTTAAGATTTTATTTATTTGAGAGAGAGAAAGTGAACACGAGCAGGGGGAGGAGCAGAGGGAGAGGGAGAAGAAGGCTCCCCCCTGAGCAGGGAGCCCAACGCGGGACTTGATCCCAGGACCCTGGGATCATGACCTGAGCCAAAGGCAGATGCTTCACAGACTGAGCCATCCAGGCACCCCTCAAAATCATGGTTCTTTAGCAGTAGTGAATCAGATGCTTCCAGCACCAAATGAGGAGCCAAACCATAGAAGGTTGTTCTGTGTGGACCCACTTTGCCCTTCTGTCTGTACGCCCAAGACTACAGATGTTTCTCTCATGAGATTTGTCTTGAACATTTGGGAACCATTGAACTTGATGGCTGCTAAGTTTAGGCTAGTTGTTTTGTTG